CCTGTAATCCCAGCACTTAGGGGTGGAGAAAGGAGAGTCTCTGAGGCTTGCAGAGACCAAAACAAAACAACCAAGCTCTGGGTTCAAAGAGAAATCCAGCCTCAAATGAATAAGGTGGGGAGTTACAGAAGACACTTGATGATGCCCTTTGGTCATCAAGGGTACTACATTATCTGCGTGTGCTCAGGAACTATATACAAAATTAAAAATAATTTCCGAGAGAAGGAAAGTAAACAAGAAAGAAGCAAGCTTGCTCACTCAACATAGAGTAAAAGCCCAGACAGGTAACATAAATAAAACACAACACTCACTAAACTAAGGTGGTGGTGATGGGGGCACACAACAACTTCTCCAGGAATCTGAACTTGGGAGTGTCCCACTGCCTTCAGGGGGACTCTTGAGTACAATACACTTATTTGAGGTACAAAAAGTCAACTACTATGACTATTCAGACCAAGACTCCACACAGGTAACCAGACCTAACAGGGTCTAGGGTGATAAAAATCTGTGAGAATATGACCCAGACACAGAGGTGGAACCATGAAGGATATTTTACTATAGAACATGAAGGCAGGCAGCAATGCCATTCAAGAGTCCTAGTACAGACCCAGACTCAAACTTGCCTCTCTACAAAGTAGAGAGTGAAGCCTGGTTCTAGGCTGCAGGACAGTAGTGACTCAGCTCACTGGCTACAAGACCCCATCCCATCTCACATCTGTCTTACTGGCTTTCGACCCTAACATCACTGCATCCCCAAAGATCAAGTTTTCGGCACTAAGAACTGGCAGCTGGCATGATGTGCACTCTAAGGACAGTCCTGTTTGTCCAGTAAGTCCTATTCTGCACATGGTTCCTCGGGGAACTTGGGTCTTGCAAGGAAGATGAACAGTTACTGAGGTCACATTATCTGGTCACTGACTGGTCATGTGTAAGACTGTAATAGAAGCCTTATACAGTGGCATCTCCAGTTCATGTCCACCACACTCTTGCCTTGTCCTGTGCTTCAGAGAGGCACCAGCAGCACATTAGAGATGCCCACGCACCACAACCCTGTTCTCCCTTTTTAGACCCTAGCTATCACAAGGGAAGCTTATCAGACTGGCCCCTCCCTATCCTCCTCCTCCTCACCTCTCCACCCATATAAGAAAGGCTCCCTACTGGGACAGAGCACTTCCTTCCATGCAGTGAAGGTAGCACTCTACCACATGTGCCTCCATGATTCTAACCACCTCCTGACTTAAACTGCAGTTTCCAATCTGAGGTTTCAAAACCCGTCACAACACCAGACAGCCAATTACTAGAAGTGAAGTTTTGCTAGGTCAAAGCACACGCACAGTGGTGATCCTGATGGCTCAGTTCTAACAATGAATACTGCCATAGGTCAAGTGTGAGAATGTTTCCATGCCCTGACAAAGTCAGCTGTGATCAAACCAAGAATACATAAATGTCTATTCCAGCAGAAACTCATTTGCACAGGTTCATCATAACTCAGAGGGAGACTGAACCTTTACCTTTCTTTCCTGCTCTTCCTGACCATGTTATCATCACAGGTTTAAGTTTAAGGAACAAGCAGAACTCATCCCTGAGGTCCAATTTCTATGCGGAAAAGACAGACACACAAGCAAGACTGTGAATGAGAGTGCTGAGGACATGAAACAGGCATTAATATACAGGGCTGGGCCACTTCGACCACTGTCATTCTACCCATCCTTGCCTTTCTCGGCCTGAGTGCTAGGTGACCTTTTGTCTCCCTCAGCACTGTGGACTTCCACTACCCACCTAGATCATGGTGCTGGTCTGGCCTCATCCAGACTGTTAAGCCATGAGGCACTACCACGGAGCTAAGCTGGCAGCATGTGAAGTGTGTACCAACATGCTGCCTACAGTGATAACACTGCCCTTTCAGAATTGCAAATACATCCTTTTAGAAAGTTATCTGCTTTACTTTTGTGTATATGTGAGTACTTGTGTCAGTTTATGTGTCCCGGGTACTCAGGAAGCCCAAAGTCCATCAAGTCCCCTGGAACTGGAATCAGACATTGTGAGCCAGCTGACATGGCTGCAGGGAACTGAGGCAGATCCTCTGTAAGAGCAGCAGCTCTCCAGTCCCTCAAGGTGGGTTCTCAGAAGGTCTGACATCCTACATGCTATCACTTGTACTTTCATTATCAGGATACTATCATTATCAGAAAGCAAACAGACCAGAAACCCACTGTGACCAGTGATGACACCTTGAGCAAAATGTGGCATATCACTCAATGTGACAGTCAAGCTCAAAAAAGAGGTTAGTACTGACAGCTGATACAATACAAACAAAACTTAAAAACATGCACCCAGACACAGCAGGCCATGCGGTGTTTGGGAAATACACAAGCAAATCAAATCCCAGTGATCGAAAAAAGCTGGGGTTAGAAGCAATGGGGAGTAAGGGGCTGGCGATTGGCGGTGTATCCTCTTGGGGATAATAAAAATATATGGAACTAGTCGGTGATGACTGTATAACTGTGAATACACGAAATGCCACTGCACTTACATTTTTAGGATTTAAATGTTAAGTTTTACCTTGTGTGTATTTTAATCAAAATAAAAAATGGTACTGCAGATGCAATATACTTTAAGTTGGCATCTACTTGTATCAAAGTATAAATCTGAAAACAGGAGTTAAGAACCCTGGAAAGCAAAATCACAACAATTGGATTGGGGAGATGGCTCAGCAGTTAAGAGTGCTTACTTCTCTTGCAGAAGACCAGAGTTTACTATACCAAACAGCTCACAGCCTGTAACTGTGATCCAGAGGACCCAACATCCACTTATGGCCTTCCTAGACACCCACATGCACACACATGCATACATACGTAGGTACATAAGCACACATACATAAGCACACACATAAAAAATAAATAAAAAACAACACACACACACACACACACACACACACACACACACACACGAGAAAAACTCAGGTGAGCACTCAGTGTCTGGTGGCACAGCAGCCAGCAATGACAGCCAAGCCTGCATGTACTAACCTGACAAGGTGCCACATTCAGCACAGCAGTCAGCCTCACTTTGCATAAGATCAAACAGGCATTGGAAGGGCACACAACCGTGTCCAAAACCAAATGCAGGGCCTTGTCACCTGCAATGTAGCGGAGGAGACAGAAGGCTGCCCTGGCCACACACTCAGACACTGCCGACTTTTATCTGGGGACAAGAACAAAACTCTTGACCCTCCCAGCAAAGTCAAGCATGTCCTGTCCTGTATCAACTACACAGGCTAGGGTCTGGTTGATGCCACCATTCTATTCTGTTTGGACAACATATCACCTGGAATACCAATGTATCACTGCTGTTCCAAGGGCACCCAATCGTGGTTCATGACACTGCTCTTCCCCCTTGTCTGTGAGCAGCAATGCTAGGTACTTCGCCAACCTGCTGACTGACTGCCTCGCTCATCCTAAATACTTTTCTTGCTTTTACCCTTTTTTTTTTTTTTTACATACAGTAAATCATGGTTAAAAGAGCAGATACCATTTAAATGATCTTTACTTGAACAGATTAAAATGGCAGCCCCCCCCCCCAAAAAAAAAATTTCAAAGGTGGATATAGCCTTGAAATTGAAGTAATTTCAAATCACGATACAATTGAAAACATCCAGGCTCTCCCCCACTACTCAGTGCCCATACATTTACTTATTTATTTCTATATATTGGTGTATGTACAGAGACCTTAGTATACTAAGTCAGCCTTAGTATAGCCTGTGACTGGGGTCACACTCACCTAACTATCTCCCCAGGCCAATGCTGAAACTTCTAAGCAGAAAGGGGTCCTATCCAGTCTAGCCATGAGTCAGAGACCTTTGTTTCAGAAGACTTACCTTTAAATTTCAACAGTAAAATCGGACATTGTATTTCAGTTATTTCTGTTCTGTTGAGCTGACAACACTGCTCAAATTCAGACTACACATGAAAACAGAAATGGTAGGGGACACTGAATACCCTGTCTGTAAGCAAAACAACCCAAGCCAGCAGAAGAACCTCAGCTGTCCTATCTATAAAATGCCCACAGCTCCACATGCAGATCCACACCAAACCTGCACACTACAGGACTGAGCTGGTGTTTAACAACTTCTGTAAACCAAAACAAAACAAGGGTTCTTAACCCGGAATAGGGAGAACCTCACACTCCTGGGGGAGGAGGGAGATTAAGTCATTAAGAATCAGGTACAAGTATTTACATTTAGTAAAAATCAAAACAGCCACGGAGATGGCTCAGTGGGAAGCTGGGTGCTATGGCCCACACGTGTAATTTCAGCACTCTGGGAGGCAGAGGCAGGCAGATTTATGTGAGTTAGAGGCCAGCTTGGTCTACAAAGTGCATCCAGGACAGCCAAGACTACACAGAGAAATCGGGTCTCAACACCCCTTTAACCCCTGAAAAAGAATGGCTCAGTGGGTAAATGTTCTTGCCACCCTGGCCTAATGACCTGAGTTTGACCCTGTAACAACCCATGTGAGGGTGGAAGGAGAGAACCAACCCCAGAGAGTTGGCCTCTGACCTCTGTGTATGCTGTAGCAATTTCATTACACACACAATTTTTAAAGCTAAAAAAAACAAAGAATCAATATACATTTTAGTTGGTTAAGCGAACATCCATCAAGCAGTCTAACTGGCTGGCCTTAACTGAGCTAATAAGACTTATGTTAACAAGATGTTTGCTTTTGCACTCATACTTAAGAAGTATGAAGGATCAGCATGATGTCAGGCAGAAAACAGAACACTTTTAGAGAAAACACTGTCCAACATAGGCAAGGCACTCTCCCCTTCTTAAAGGGCCCACCTATAGCACAGAAAAGAAGTATTCTCTTCCTCCACGGTCTCTGTTGCCCAGACCAGACCTGAGCTCCAGGATCACTTCAGTATAGAAATGCAGACCACGCAGAAGACAGAAAATAACCGAGATGTGACAGGGACACATCCAGACTCCACCAAGGAGTACTCACTGATGGTTCAACTTGACTTCGATCTGCAATGTCTATGTGGACAATTTCAACAGTTTTCCACGTGTTCGGATCTAACCCGTGAACCTGTGAGAAACAGACCATTAGTGAGTTCTCTGTCGGGAAAGCACTACATTTCCGTGTCATCTTAGCTTGTCCCTCAGGACTGGGCATGAAATTACTAGTTCAGTAAGCAGCAGCTGACGGTCTTGAGATCTGGACCGGCTTTACCCTTTGTACCGCTCCCCCAGTGAGGGGTGGATGTACAAATGAACAATCTGTCCAGGCTTTTTTCAGCGTACGAAGAGGTGATTCATGTGACAAAATTTACCTTCCCTGTCTACTGTGTAAACACAGTGCTTGTAACCCTTAAGCCCTAAGCCAGCAAAGGTAACTGGACAAGCAGACAGTGGTTAGGAGCACACACCGCTCTTGCAGAGGACCAGAGTTCAGCTCCCAGAACCCATGTTGGTCGGCTCACAACTGTTTGTAACTCCAGTTGCAGAGGGCTTAAAAGCTTCTGACTGCCTGTGGCCCTTGCACTCATGTGTACCCTCCCCCACAAAGAAACCAATTTTGAATCTTCAAAAAAAGAAAAAGATTTAGCTGGGGCGTGGGAGGGGTGGCTCACGTCTTTAATCCCAGCACTCAGTAAGCAGAGTTCAAGGCCTGGTCTACAGAGTGTATTACAGGACAGCCAGGGCTACACAGAGAAGCCCTGTCTCAACCCCACCCACCCCCATCCCAAAGAAGGACTTGACTATTCTACAGCTCATTTTAGTGTCAACTTCTTGATACTTCTTGTTCGATAGTTTCTCAAATCCTGTTTATGAACTGTTTTTTGTTTGTTTGTTTGTTTGTTTTGGCTTTGGCTCCCCCCTCCCCCCCCCCCCGAGACAGAGTTTCTCTGTGTAGCCTTGGCTGTCCTGGATTCTCTTTGTAGACCAGGCTAACCTAGAACTCACTCTGCCTCCCCAAGTGCTGGAATTATAGGTGTGCACCACTGCACCCAGCTATGTGAGCTGTTTTAAAACAATAAATAAGCAAACTGAAAGCTGGAAATAAGATAATCATTACATAGCACTTTATTTAGATCCTTTATTTTAGAGAATTTCTATGAAAAGCGGATTGTCACATCATCAATGGACAAGTATACAGATTAAAATTTAAGTTCTATGAATGGCATCAATACTGAAACAGCACAGGAACAGAACTACAATTTAGCACAGTTACGACTACAATTTAGCCCTTTAGCTGTTTCACTAACTCATGCTCCTCTGGATGAAAACATAGCCCTGAACGTGAGTGTGCACCACAAGGCAGACTGCTGGTGGCCTGAGTGTTTCTGATGGCTTCTAGATGCTGGTGCTCCAGGTCTACAGACCCTTTGGAGACCACACGGCTAAGGCACCAGGGTTTGCCACAAGCCTCCCCCAGCTCCTGAGCAAGCCTTTGTAGCTACTGCAAAAGCTACTGCAAGAAAACTCTGGCAAGTGTTCTTGAAGCTCAGGTATAAATGTGTGCCAACTTATCATAACGTAAGTCAAGGGCTTGTCAACATTTTTTCAACCTTCTCATTCCTGCCCTCTGGTCATTTCCATCAACCTGTGGCCCAGAAGAGTAAAGTGGAAGTAAACATTAGAACAATCAGTTCTGCTAAGTACAACTGCCCTGGTGAGCAGAAGGAAAACAATATAAATCTACCAGGGAAGAATGGGTGGCAGCAGCATCTGTGAACTGTCTACCCACGCTCTCTTAGAAGAGTCCACTCAGCATCAAATAGAGGGAGGGACTGACAGATGCAGCTAGTCTGTGATCCAGCTGTGAGGTTGGGTGCTCATGGATCCAGGGTCACCACTGCGCTGTGGAGAGTAGACTGTTCCAACTTACTCCCACTTCCACAACCTTCTTCATTCAAGTGCAGAGCTGGCACCCTACGGATGGTGCTGCCATCAAGCCCAGGGCCTTGGACATGCTGACCAGAATTCCACAAAGCAGCTATAGCCCAGCCCTTCAAGTACAGCATGGAAACTTACATTTTCTAGTGTTCCCAAGTCAGGTTTGTGCCATGTTTCGATTTTGATGAAGAAGTCATCTTTCATATATTCATTCTGCAGAGAACACAGAACATGATGCATCCTTCACAGTTCTGTGGGAGTCTCCCCAGCATTACACCTCTTTCCAAATCCAGACCCATTAGTCCCCATTTCATTTTAGATTTAAATTATTTTTATGTGTATGCGTCTGTACCTGTGGAAGGCAGAAGAGGGCATAAGAGTTCCTGAAACTTGATCTGGATGGTTGTGAGCCACCATGTGGGTGCTAAGAACCAAACCTGAGTCCTCCAGAACAGCAACTCAGGCTCTTAAAGGTCAAGGTGATACTCCAGCCTCAGCTGATTTTTAAAGGCTTGCTGAGTACAGCAAATGATGCTTTCACATATTTCAAACACTCCCACAGGGGCAGAAAAGAGCCATGAGGTTTGGTGAGCAATTCTGACATTCAAGTAAATAGTAAAAGCAAAATAAAAGCAGTAAGCAGTGTGAGGCAAGCCTGGGAGAGCTGTGAGCCCAGGAACATGTGAGGTAGGAGTGGCAGGGGGAGGACACACAATAGGCCAGGAAGCAATGGGAGCTTAAGCAAAAGACCAGAAGCAGTCGGAATCATCACTACGCAGAAACAAAGTTTAAAGAAGACTGTGTGCTACTCACCGTTACAACTGAGGCAGAGAGATGAGGCGGGCAGAAAAACAGGAAAAACTTCAATTAGATGGAATCAAGACAACCTGTCCCAGTATTTTAAGTCAGGTGCACTAAGTTATGCCAAACATATAACATTTAGTAGCTTATGTATTCAAAATGGTCTCTACACAAGTGACACCAAAACAGCCTCAATTTAGATTATGGAATACAAAGAAAATGTGAATAATCTACCTTAATTTAAAATAATGCTAATAAAAATATCACAAAAACCTAACATTATCTATGAAGACTGTTTGTTTGGCAAGCAGGTCTGTAACACCCCCCTAGAGTGCCGCTAAAGCACACCAAAAGGCACCTCTGAGTGCACATGACCTTTATGATTTCAGCATTCACTTGTTCACCCCAAAGCCAGCACTGAGGACCTCCATATGGCTGTCATCTAGGTGTGAACCTAGGGGGTACACACAGATCTGCGGAGGAAACCAGTGGCTCCCTGGCCATCACCCAAGCAGTGACTGAGAACGAACAGAAAGGCGGCTTCGGTCTAATCCCCTTAAGGCCCAGGGCACTTAGTGTCCCTGTCCTCATGCTAAGGGCAGCAGAGTGCAATGCTGCTGGGGACCAGCTTACTTGTTCTGCAGTAGGGGTAAGCGTTCCAGGCTTTCTCATGGAACACCAAGGAGCCCTCGGGAGCAATCATCCTCACAAATGCAGGAACTTTGCTGTGGGGAGAAAGACATTGGCTACATTTTCTACTGTACCATCATTTCTGTTTTTATAAAAAATGTCATCATATTCCAAATCTGATGACCTAGGCAGCAATGTTTATTTCAATCCCAAAGTAATCATGTGGCAAATTAATGTGAAAAAATAATCAAGTTTAGCTGCATAAGGGGTTACTGTTCATTTTTTTGTGTGACTGGGAATGGAGCCCAGGGCTTTCCACATGGTAGGTAAGCACCACACCTCTAAGCCTCATCCCCACCCTCTGTGAGTGTACGTGCATGCCACTGCTCATGTAGGGGTCAGTTAGCAAATCTGGTATTGGTCTTCACCTTCTGAGTGTGAATCAACTTCCCTGGAATGAAATCCAGGAGTTGACTGAAGTTATCAAAGTTACCAAGTCCTCATGCTGCTATAACACTGGCACTCACAGTGAGGCTTCACCACATCAGCAGCCAGACATGATTTCGGGGCTATATCTAAACAGCCCATAATGCAGTAAACATGGCAGACCTCAAGAACTGTACCAATGAGTAGAAAAGACAAAGCATACCCACATAAAAGATTCTATAGGAAATTAAGGGGGCTCATGCTATGTCATGCCAGTACTTAAGAGGTTGAGAAAGGAGGATCTTCATGAGCTCCAGGCCAGCAAGGGTTAGAGCAAAACCCTTTTTCATCAAAACAAAAACTAAAACAAACAACCAAAAAAGTCTTTAATTCCAGCACTGACAGGCAAAGGCAAGAGGATTCTGTGAGTTCAAGGACAGCCTTGTCTACAGTCCATGACAACCATGGCTACAAAGAGAAATCCTGCCTTGAAAAGCCAAAAATAAAGAAGGAAATTCTGTATGTTCAAGAAATGGCTGTCACCAGCTACCTCAAATGTGATCAGAAAAGAAAGGTTAAATACACGACCGACACCCACAAGCTTCAGAAAAATCCCACCCATCAAAAAAAGACAAAGACAACTGCACCTACTTTCACAAACAAAACGCACTAAACACTGACAAGTAGGAAAATTGGTCTTTGCAGTTTACACAGAAATACAAGTGAGCTCAGCACGTTTATGAACAGATACTGTAAGGGACAACTCCAGTATAGACTGTCACAATGACTAGATTCAACTCCCAAACCTCAACCTTGAACCTGCCAACACTGGGAACAACACAGAAATACCACAAGGAGAGTAAGGTTTATCATCTCAGATAGCTAGTAATTAAGATGCTAAATCATCTAAGCCAAAACTACGCCATGTCCCCAACTTCAAGCACTTTATATATTCTTTCCACATCATAGTAAATTTCAAACTTACTTATTCAATAAGACACAGGACAAAGTGAGAAAACCTGGGCGCCAGGAAGGACTTCTGAGCACGCAGTCGGCAGGAGCCAGTGCTTAGCTCAATGCCGGAGACTAAATAAAGGACATGGTGAAGAGCCCCACATCAACAGGAAGCTATGAACCATGACGAGGGAGCCCCCAAATGGCAGGCCCAGAGGCCATGACATGGGTCCATAGTTTAAGAGTTTCACTATTCAGACAAATTAAATCACTGGAAAAAATATTTTCAATAGCAGGGCAAGTGACAATCCTAGGACAGATGTTAAGAATTTTTCATGTGCCTTCATGTGCTTCAAAGATAACAACGAATGATGGCCAATTCTGAGTGTTAATTCTTTTCAAATTGTATGATCACTCTCACACTAATTTCAGACATATCAAGTCAGACTAACTGAAAAGAATGTGGCCTTAAAGTCAAAGACAGGTTAGGGAGATCACTCAGTCAGTGACATTCTTGCCATGTAAGTATGAGAACCCAAGTTCCACCCCCAGAACCCATGTAAAACCCAAGCATGAGCTTGTAATTCCAGCTTCAGATAGGCAGAGGAGAGAGGAGCTATCTCTGGGGCTTGCTGGTCAGCCAGCATTACCTAATGAGCAACCAGGTCCACGCCTCAGAAAACAGGGCAGAAGCCAGCAGATGTCTTATGGGTAAAGGTAAATGTCACCAAACCTGACAAGAGTTCCAGGAGTTGTCCTCCAACCTCCCCATGTGTGCCACGGCACGAATGCACACACACACACACCTGGCTGATGCCTTGATGTCCCTGCAACCATGCATACTCAGGAGCATGAACCTGTGTGCATATGCAAGTTCACCTAAATATACAACACACACGCACAGTCAAGTAACAGCCAGTACAAGACTCTTCACTGCTAAGAACTAGAAGCAACAGTCCATACATTATGTAATTAGGACAAGCTACAGGATTCCTGCTTAATCTCAGAATATGGCAAACACCTGCCAAGAGTTCAGCCAGTACAAAGAGTTTATGCTGTGTGGCCCACCAGCGGAAGAGCCTAATATCTGTAAACCAGTATAAAAGCTGCTGACTCTCCGGTGTGTGCACTCAAGGCCAGAGGATGCTAAGTGCCCTGTCCTATGATGCCTCCATCTTGCTACTTTGAGAAAGTCACCAAACCCAGAGCTATGCTAGGTGCCAACAAGCCCCTGTAATCCTCCCTTCCGGGACTACAGGTGTGCACAGTCACATTTAGCTTTCATGTGGGTGCTGGGGCTTTGAGCTCAGACCCTCATTCTTGCTCAGCAAGCACTATGACCCACTGAGTCATCACCCCAGGCCCAATATTTCTCCAGCCTAACCTCAACTGCCACCTATCAGATTTCCAAGACTCACTCTACCAATTAAGCTCCTTTCTTACAAACTTAGTTAATAAAACTCCCATCTTTGAGGTAGTTGTTCCAAACTCTGTCGTTTTTTACACCTAGCATGAGAACATTCACTAGTAACCTGTCTTCATGTGTGTAGTAATGACTTAACCTGGGGAAATGTGCACATGGAATAAACAAAATGTAATTTAAATTCAGCTTTTAAGAAGAGAAATCTTCATTAGTGGACACTTTTCTACACTCTTAACAAGGCACTTGGAAGCACAGATGTCATTTTCCTCTATCTCTTGGAAGCCACACTGACTAATGAAAATCATTTTAGCAGTTTAGGGAGCTTGAGAAAAGTGAATGATAGTAAACAGATTCAGGAAATGAAGCTGGGCCTTGAAAGTGCACACAGGAGACGTTACTGCGCTCTCCTCCCTCAAGCATTCACAAGATGGTGATTCCTCCTGATGTTCTTAGCAGGCCTCCCTTCAAGGTGCCCTGTCCAGACCTGGGCTGCTTTAAGACTCGTGTTCCCATAACATGAAGCTTTAGCTCATAAAGCTTTTTTCAGAATGCATGCCCCTGTCCCGTCAACCTGGGGAGCAAAGTCAACTGCACTCAACTTTACTCCACTGCATTGATCTGATCATAATGAAATAATGGTTACAAACACATTTGTCCCAGCCAGGGCAACTGAAAAACAAAAATGATAAAAAAGATTTTTGTCCACACACATATGAATGCAGGTGCCTTCAGAAGCCAAAAGCACCAGATTCCCTGGAGTAGAAGTTACATGCATTTTGAGCTGCTAGAACTGAACGCAGGCCCTCTGCAAGAGCAAATATATGCTCTTAACCACCAAGCAGTTTCTCCAGCCTGGAGAAGGCAACTCTTGTCACAGAAGACAACAGCCCCGGCACAGTTTCCAACACTGGTAACTGGACGGAAGAGTAGGACAAGACAGGATGGCCAGTGAGGGATGGGTGCCAGACAGACTAGGTGGACTGCTCGCCTACAGGCTGGAGGGTGAAGTCCATTCTTTTGTGATGTGGAAGCCACTGAAAGCTTTTAGAAGAAGAACACCACAACCTGGGTCTGTGTGGAAAATTAAACAGAGCAGGGAAGTGGGCAGAATGGACAATGGCAAAATCAATCCCAAATGGACAAAGACTTAATGGTGAGGGGAGTGTGCCCATGACTTAGAATAAGCACAAACAAAACCAGTAAAGTGGAACCTCATAGAAAGCCGACCTGTAAATCACCTCTCTGATAGGGTCCTAACACAGACATTCTGTACAGTGAAGAAAGGCTAGGCATGGCAGTGCAGCTTACAGTTCTAATACTCAAGAAGGCAGGGGAAGAAGGATCACAAGTATGAGCCTGGGCTACATGGGGAGACTGACAAAAAAGTCAAAAGATTTTAAGTTATTTCTCCAATAACAAAAGTCCAAAAAATTAAGGAAATTCCAGCATACTTAATTATGAAAAACATGCACCTAAAAACCATAATTGGGGGGCAGGAGAGATGGCTCAGCGGTTAAGAGCACTGACTGCTCTTCCAGAGGACCCAGGTTCAACTTCCAGCCCCACACAGCAACTCAATACTGTCCATAACTCCAAGATCTGACACTCTCACACAGACATACATGCTGATAAGACACCAATGCAGATAAAATAAAAATTATAAAAAACCAAAAACACAATTAGGTGCTCTTCATATACAAATGGCTATAATCAATAAGCCAAGGGGTCTAGACTTTGGTTAGTCTGGGTCAAGTGAAATACGGAATTTCAAATTCAGTAAAAAAGGTGGTGGTCTTAGCCAAATCTGCAATTCTACTGATGTTAAGAGAGAACAGGGCACACAACTTAGCTGAACTAGAGCATTAAATGCTTTGCATACAAATTATCTTCCTAAGCTGGAGAGTTTAACATGCTGCAGGGACAGTGGGTGCCACCTAGAATGCTAACACAATGCCCCAAGGAACCTGAGTCTGAAGAGGCTACACTAATGGCCTTTCCGGGAATCAAGGCCTAAGTGCTCCGTGTCCTTCTGTAATGTAGTTATCTGGTGGCTAATCAGTGGCCAATGTGACACTAATAAATCTGAGAGCTTGCCCTTTGTCCCTCCCAGACAGCAGCAGCAATGTCCATTTGGTCTCTATTGGTAGAGAGGATTCTGACCATCTCTCATCATGAAGCTCCATTACTTCGCCCTCTCTTCCTTTCTCCTTTCATGGCTCCCTGTACCCAGCTACCATTTTTGGACATGGCTGAAGGGCCTGGGAAGTGTGGGTACAAGAGTCAGGCAGCTGTTACCATCTCCTTAGTCCCCTTCTGCTCCTCCTCAGGAACCTGTGCTCACTGGGTTCTCAAGAGTTCTTCAGGCCCTGGAGGAATTCTGGCTCCTTCTGGAATGAAGATGCTGCTCCCGGAGACCATGGATACATGAAGGCTGCCTCCAGAGACCCTGCACTGCAAGCCTGAAAGTTCTAACCTCACACCCATATATGCTCTTAAGCAATAATGTCACTTGCAGTGACCATTTTTATAGCCCTCTTCAACTACGCGTCATTATTTGTGGCTGGAAGGTTACCTAAATCAGATGTTTCAAAAATGGTATTTAATCTTCTTTCCCATAAAAATGAAATCACCTATATCTCAGCAGAAAGTGATAAACATTCCTAATATTTTAATGACTTTCTAGGCTTTTTATCTGATTAGGTTTAAAAACATGAACATGGTATGAATATCTAATGACCCAGTAATAGAGCCTTAAAACATGATAAATGCCATTTTTCTAATATCTGAACCTTTAGGTTTCAAACAATGAATATTACACATTTATCTCAAGAGGTGTCCTGGCTGGTTTTGTCAACTTGATACAAGCTAGTCAGCTGGGAAGAACTTTTAAGAAAAGGCCTCCCTCCATCAAACTGCCTGTGGGCAGGTGGTCCTGGGTGGTCAAAAAGCAGGCTGAGCAAGCCATGGGGAGCAGGCTGTTGAGCGATGCTCTCCTCGGCCTCCACTTCAGTCCCTGACTCAATGATGGGCTGTGACTTGTAAGCCAAACGAACCCTTTCCTCACCAAGTTGTTTTTGGTCATGGAGTTTTGTCATTGCAATGGAACCAGCTAATGTTTTCACATTTGGAATAATAATCTATTCAGGATATCACAGATCAATATAAAATTTCACACAACAAACCCTTTGGTCTATTTTAGTATTCTCAGAAAAAGTCCAGTGCTTTCAGTAAGGAACTTCTAGCTGTTTGTAGAACTCAATTAATGGGTAAATCAAAACTTTTAGTGAAAGGGAGGCTGCAGAAATGGCTCAGAGATGGAAAGCATTTCACCAGCACACATATAGGGTGGATCACTGTAGCCTGCAACCTTCTCTGGCCTCCACAGGCAACTCCACAGCTGTGACACACTCAGGCACCTAAATGAAAATATGACCTTCAAAAGAAAATGATGACAAAGTTTAAGCTTAATCACCTAAGCTCATCTACACTTTAGGAACAAGAGTGAAATTTATTTTAATATAAAGAGAAAAACAAACAAACAAACAAACCAAGAAGCACTGAGATGCCCTCCCAAACTTAGTAAACAGGGAGATAGTCCGCAAAGTGGACTCAGAGCTGTCTCTAGTCTCAGGTATGCATTTCCTATTGTAAAGCACCTAAAGGAAAAGATATGAGGAGCACACTTAACAAAAGGGAAAAAAAGCATGTGTGTGTAGGTGTGTGTTTTGTGTATGTGTGAGCCCTCAGTGACAGACCTTCCCATCACCAGTTAGCAGACACATTCAATGACACACATGAAGAATCACAAATAAAAGCATAGTATTTCTGCCTGTGAAGCTGGCAAAAAGCCAGGCACTGCGGCACATGCCTGTGATCCCAGCACTTGGGGAAGCAGAGACAGGTACATTGCTGTGAGTTCCAGACCAGCCTAGTATACAAAGCAAGTCCAGGACAGCCAAGGCTACACAGAGAAACCCTGTCTCAAAACAAAACAAAAGAAAAAAGAAGAAAAAAAAAAAAAAAAAAAAAAGAAACTGGCAAAAATTCAAAACAGAAAAATAAGGAAAATTAATAATATGGAACTTTGGAGGACAATTTAAATGGTCATGGCTTTCCAGAAGATCCTTCTTTGGACTACAAAGTACATATCTAGGACTCCTCAGAAAGTGTTCTATACCTACAAGAACATACTAAAACAATCACTTAACTAAAATGTGTGCATGATATTCATCCTGTAGAACAGTTAAATAGACTATGCTTGTTCGACATGAGGGAATTTTACTTGGCTTTAAAAAGAATCACACCGGGGCTACAGGGTAGAGGGAGGGTGTCGAGAACCTTTCATTCAATCCCAAAACCACATCTAAGTGCTGGGCACAGTGCCCTGTCCCCACAATCTTAGTGCCAGTCAGTCTAGTGTAGCTGGCAAACTCCAGGTCAATATAAGTCCTATTTCAGAAACCTTCATCCACAAACACTAGCAAACACACTTATCCAAAAACCCACACACCCCTTTGTTGGAGGTTGGTCTGATGCATGTTACTGGCCCTCAACATCTGGTTAAACCTATCACTGTTGTGTAAACTTTCCTAAGTCATTATGGTTGATTAAATAGTCTATACCTGGGCAGGGCAGATGGGGTAGGCATGGCCAAGGTTCCTGGGCTTTGGGTTCAGGAGAATCACTGGGAACAGAGAGGAAGGAGGACACCTTGATGGCTTAGTGTGGAGGAAAAAAAAACATGTGGGCCAAGAATAAGGACTCCAATAATGGCATGAATAGGCCCAAATGAAGAATGCAATGGATAATGGACAGAACTAGACCAGATGAGGAGGATTAAAGTGGACGGCATTAGATGGGGGCTGGGAGATGGCCGGTGAGGATATTGAGCCAGTGTAGGTAAAGTATCTGTCCAATACACGGTAAATAAGGCAATTATAAAACCTAACAGGTATCTGTGTCTTATTATTTGTGATAGCAAGTTAAATAATACTGTGATAATTTTAAGGCAGATAATAAACTTTATATAGCCCAACAGCCATTTTTTTGTTTTTATTTACAACACCCTTTTAAAAAGAAAAAAAAAAAAAAAAAGCTCCTACAGATATCAAATAAAAACATGGATGAACTAGGATCTGGAAGATAACCCTTAAAGTATTTCAAGTGTTCCTCTTTTTAAGAATATTGATGGCAAGGGGTGAGGTTGAACTATTTATTTTATGTGTATGAGTGTTGCCTTCATGTGTGTATGTGTGCATAGACTACAAACATGCCCAGAATGCATGGAGGTCAGAGTACCTGGTATCCATGGTGCTGGATCACACAAAACTAGAGTAACGGGTAGAAGTGAGCCACCACTGGATGCTGGGAAACGAACCTGGGTCCACTGCAAGAACAGCCAGTGCCCCTGACCACTAACCATCTCTCTCTAGACTGAGGATGAAGGTTTAATTGTATAGTCTTCCCTACTGATTGAACTTTTGTTATAGAAAGATGTATAACTTTTATAACTTAGTATAAAAATGAGGGACCATAATAAATTAAAGCACAACACATGGTCACGGCGTATTATAGCTCAGTGGGCCCTCCCCTAAGGAGGCTGCTCTAGTAGGTATGCAGGTCACAGGTGGAAACCCCACTTGCCTCTTCAGGTGGTAAATTTTGTGTGTGTACTGTCCCTTCTCTCCATCCTTTTCATAAGGTTCATTCTTCAAGACTTCGATTCCTTCTCCACCACCAGTTTCATTCTTACTCGCTTCTGCAACAGAGTAAAGCTGTCCAACCTGATACTGAAATTCCAAAGAGCAGAGTTTTACTAAGTCAATAAAAGTTGCAAAACTTTCCCATGCTAAAACCTTAATAAAGACGATACAGAAAAGTCCAAACTGTTCAGCACATGTTCTACATGAAAACAGACCTCAAGGGACAAATGCCTGATGACCACAGGATTTCCATTGTTCACAGTCACTAACATTTTATTTGTATAATATATATCAAGAAAATGTCAGCACTTAGTTCAACTTCTGAACGATGAATTTATACTGTGAAGCTTTTTTGTTTGTCTGGGTTTTTTTTGTTTTGTTTTTCAAGACAAGGTTCTCTCTGTGTAGCCATGGCTGTCCCCAAACTTACAGAGATCCACCTGCCTCTGCTTCCCAAGTGCTGGGATCAAAGGCATGTGCCACCACAGCCCAGCCTCTGAGAAGCATTTTTATTTCTCTTATATCTTAGGAGTGTAACCTTAAGGCTGAGCAACCAGCTAGCTCTCCATTCTCAGTTATGAAAAGCAAGGAATGTGGCATGGTAGGAAAAGCCTTAAGACCTTTTACCATGGCTGAAGATACAGTATTATATATCTAAGATCAGAACTGTTCAACAACATTCTCCAGTAAACACAAACTTTCTGGAAACACAAGCATGTAAGTGTTAGCATGCAAGACTGGTGATGAGTACTCAGTCGTTCCTGTTTCACAGTGAAGCAGGCAGGGCTCTCAGTGGTAGGGTAGCTCCCATGAGTCAGTAGCCACGAACAGTTACCACAAGGAGCAAAACTGAGGTTCGTATAGTCCCACTTGTTCCAGGGCCCAACACACAGGACTATTGCCAATCTCTTCAAATTTGACTAGACTGCCTGAAGACCCATTTTTTTTTATCTTTATAACCAAAGAAATGGCACAAAAATTTACCTCTAAGAATTCATAATTCAAAGCTAAAATTATAATTGAAAGAATAAAAGGATCATCATAAGCTCAGAAAATACTCCCATTTGAAAAGCCCATGGGATGCAAGGTTATCATGCTGGCTCTTTTCTCTCTTTTGTCTCTACCCCCAACCCCCCACTGTATTACTCAATTTGTAAGGGTCTGAAAAGCTGGAACTAAAGTGAGTAAGTTACCTATTTAAGACTCTGGACTGCAGGAGAGGCTGTTCTCTTGGTTTTCCAACCCATTATTTGGGTTAGTCTAATAGCACAATTCTTAAGTCCTTTAAAACCCATTTTTTAACACATCAGATTTAAAATCAGTATTAAAATGCCTTTAAAGCAGAAGACAAATTTGGTTTAACAAAAATACACGACGAAACGATTAATGAACTGGTAACCTGAAGAAGGTACTAGGTTTTCTTTTTGGTATTTCTGAAAATATCTCAATGTCAGGTGTGGTGGCACACGCCTTTAATCCCATCACTTGGGAGGATGAGGCAGTTGGAGAGTTCCAGGACAGCAAGGATACACAGAAAAACCCTGTCTCAAAACAAACAAAAAACAGAATAAAATCAAAACCCAGACTGGTTGGAGGGGAGGGGAGACATACTTGTTAAATCTGAGTACAACAAAAAGCTGAAAAGATCAAAACTCCAGACTTCAACAAGCTGTTTCAATCTGCTATCCCCTCCCCCACTCCACCCCACCCTAAAAAAAACCTACAAAAATAAATGTCAAGTTGTCAAGTTCCACCTGTGAGTTCAAATAATCAATCCTGCAAATAGAGGCCTGGTGTGGCCCGTGCTGTGTGTGATGTGGTGAAACCCAGCCCTGCTCAGCTGCACATGCAGCTGTGTTCAAGGCCACACTGAAGAGATCCACTTTTCCTCAGTTCTGCTTTTCCCTTTCTTCAGTCATCTGTCACTTCTTAGTTATCAGTTTGCTTTGTCTAACTTCCAATTCCCTGCTTCTGATCCACTGTCAGCTGAGGAACGACTATGTACAAGTTCAGAAGGGCCCTGGGGGTTGAGTTTGGCTACATGTGCTTTAACAGCCTCTCTGCTTTGTCCTCCCTGCTGGCTTTCTTACAGGTAGCTGTACCTGCAGGGTGTAGGTTCTCCATATGATAAAGACTGTAATCCTGCTGTTAGCTGATGGTAAGATCACATCAGGAATACCATATCAGTACATGTTTAACTCCATGTTAAAGTGAAACATAAGGTCTTGGGGGTGGTGAGGTTGGCAGAAAAGCTCAAATATTACCACGGGCCAGACAGAGGCTTAACTCACACTGTTCAAGTGGGGTGAAGCATGCCACAGAAAAGCAGGTACTGTGGAAAGACAAATGCCCAGTAGTCAGGGGGGCCAGCTCTTCTCTTGGCAGAGAAGGGCTGTTTCACCTAGGAAGTACTTAAACTGAGGCTGGAACCTCATCTTTCTGGGACAGTGTTGAAAAAATTTCTATACTTGTTAAACTACTTTCTACAGACCATTCCAAATGAGGCAATATAACAGAAGTTTATTCATAACTATCTGTAACCCACAATTCATTTTGTCACTGAATAAACTGGAATAAAAAAGAAAACGAAGGCTGAGAATATAGCTCATTGGCAGACTGCTTGCCTGAAGTTTTTGAGGCCCTTGGCCCAGATCCCAGGACTGCACCAAAAAAGACAAAAGCAAATGCATATTACAAACACCATAGGTTAACATATCAGTAAACCATATGAATAAAATGAACAGAAACAAAACACTTACCTCCTGAACAGAACACGGCAAAACCACACGGCTGAAAAGAAAAGAATATATACATTACATACATTGCAGAACTTGGAAGGCTACCCACCTCACTGCCACAGGAGCAAAGATGCAGGTTTGCTTCTTGCACAGGGCGAGCAAGCAGGAGCAAGTTTGTCTTGAGCAGGATCTCTGCTCAAAACGTTCTCATGAAACTTAGTACAGTTTCATTCACCATGTATGTGCTGTACATGTTTAAGAGTCATTGTTATGTGTAGGAGTGAGCACCCACAAAAGGCAGAAGAGAACATGGGGTCGCTGTCACTACAAGTACAGGAGGTCACAAGGCACCCAACATGGGTCTCCTAAGAGCAGTCAGTGCCCTCACCACTGAGCTCTCTCTCTAACCCTGTGCATATTTTTTGATACTTCTCACAGAATACAACATGTTTTGATGTTCATGAATGAATCTTTTCAGAAAAGTCCCTCCACAACCTAATTTAGTTTAGTGAGACAAAAGGTGGCTTTGGAATAAGCAGCAGATTCTGTTAAGGAAATGGCCTTGCACCTTACAAATAACATACCCTCTCCCAAGGTAGAGCCAGTGTTAAGTAGGATCTGAGCTTGATTCTGTCCAAGTATGTGCTACTGAACACAGCAAAGATTATCTTTTGAGTTCAATTTTACTACAGTACAGGACATAAACTGGAGAAAGAGAAGTGAGAAAGACAGAGGGTAGAAGCCACTTGTCAGGGCCGTTAACCCTGGGATAAAGAATTAGTAAGTTAAGCCAGGTGGTGGTGGCGGCAGCACGTGCAGACCTTTAATCCTATCACTCAGGAGGCAAAGATGGGGGGGGGTGATTTCTGAGTTTGAGGCCAGCCATGTTTACAGGGCAAGTTCCATGACAGCCATGACTACAGAAAAACCCTGTAGTGAAAGAGGAAAAAAAAAATTAAGAAGTTCATTAAATGAAGCAATAAAAGTACAAAAATGCAGGAGGATTTTCTCAAGAGTGACACAGCTATGGCTGACATCGCAAGCACCGCTAATGCAAGCTCTAAGTGGATGCAATGCCTCTGGCTTCCATGGACAACTGTACTCAGGTACACAGACACACATAAGTCCACATAATTTAAAATAATAAAAACAAATCTTAGGGGGCTGGAGAGATGGCTCAGAGGTTAAGAACACTGGCTGCTCTTCCAGAGGTCCTGAGTTCAAGTCCCAGTAACCACATGGTGGCTCACAAACATCTATAAGATCTGATGCCTTCTTCTGGCGTGCAGGTGTACATTCAGGCAGAACGCTGTGTACGTAATAAATAAAAAATCTTAAAAAAAAAAAAAAACAAATCTTAGAAGATTTGCAAAATGCATACTGTGCAAATTCCCCTTCAGGACTACTCTTCCTGCGGACTGCTCACCTAACTGTCAGAGGGTTGGTTACTCAACAGCTGATTCACATTCTGAAGCCAGGAAGTAACTAATAAATTAAAAACCACTGACTACCTCATGTTCAATCAGTGCTTCATCTCTTTTGCTATGTGGTTTAAGACAAGTCAATTTTTGCCTATCTCATAGTCTCCTCTTTTGACATGCCACTAGAATAATAAATTAGGTGGCGCTTGCACAATACATTGTTAAAATTACTTGGAAGAAAGTTTTCATGCAAGGTCAAGGTTCATTAATATGAATATTCCTTAAATGCAAATATTTGCTTTGTGCAGAATGGAAAAAAAAAAAAAAGCCCTCTTCAGGTTCCCTGTCTCTAAAAAAAAGTAAGTTTTTGGGTCAGAGATGGCCCCGAAGGCAAAAGTACTTGCCTCCAAGCACGACCTGAGTCCCAGGTGCAGGAGCCAAAAGGGAGCAGAGAATTTACTTCTGCAAGTTGTCCTTTGACCTCCAAAAGCACTCTGGCGTCTGTCTATACATGCATGCATACTTCCATACATATATACCCACACACACAAATATAATTTAAATTTTTTTCCAAATGGTAATCTGTCATCTAAATATTTGCTGAGGGGCTGGAGAAATGGTCCAGCGGCTAAGAGGATTTGCTACTCTTTCAGAGAAACTGAATTCAGTTTCCAGCATCTGCTCAGTGGTTAACTACCCTCTGCACAGGTGGTCCAGTGCCCTCTTCTTACCTCCAAGAGTACTGTATCCATGTGGTACACCCACACATGCAGGCAAACACTCATACACATAAAAAGACACACATATTAAAGAAAAACACCGCCAAATGTTTGCTGAGCATCTACTAAGGAGCAAAGACTGTACGGTGTGCAATGTAGACAGAACTCGCAGAAGGACAAACACAAACTCCCCAAGAACACACGTGTAAGCAAGCACCTGGAAGGTGAGTTACTGATTTGAGGAAAAAGCACTCGCGGCAGCAAAAAGTGAAGGAAACAGACCAGCCCTGAGTTAAGCCTATATGCGGCACCACAGAGGAACAGCAAGGGTCCTGTGATGCTGGAATGGGCAAGAAAAAAAATTTAGATAGGAGCGGTAAATAGAATCTGGGCAGTGTTAAGTAGAGGAACTGTTAGTGGCTTTTACACGGGTGACAATACAGACAAGGTGTCTAGACAGCTAAATCAAGGCCTTTTTTTTTTTCTTTTAAGAATTTGAAATGAAATTAGGGGTGGGGAAGAACAGCAACAACAAAATGGGTCACACTTGAAATCCCTAATTGCACAAGGGACACTGATTGAGGTATGACAGCCGAAACTCCCTGACACCACGGTTTCCTGTGATGTGCATGGCTCTAAAGAGTGGGGAAAGCCACAACTTTTCAACAAAATGACGGGGACAGTCCGATGCACCGGGGAAAGTCTTCATTTGCCACACCATGTGTTTAACGCCGCATCGTAACCTGGTGAAGCAGGTGGGGCCGGTGTCGCCCCATTTAGTGGCGAGGGACCTGAGATCGACCGCATGGAGAGGGTCTAACGTGAGGTGCCCTGGGCCTGCCCGCGTTCTGGCACAAACTTCTGGGAGATCGGTCCCCGAGCACCGCCGGCTCCCACGGGAACCCTGGCCGCACAGCCAAGCCCGGCGCTGACTACCGGCGGCACAGCCGCACCGGGCCTCGGGGCTCTGGGAAGGGGCCCGCAGCATCCCGGGAGCACACCCCACGCTGAGCCAACCGATCCTCCCTAGCCCGCGCCCCGGAGCCTCGCTCCGGCCCCACCGACCCACTCACAATTCCTTAATCAGCACCATCTTCCGGGAACCCCCTCACAGCTGCCGCCGCCAGCCGCCACCGCCGGGCCTCTCCACACGCATGCGTAGCCCCGCCTCCCAGTGGTCCGAGCCTCGGCTGCGCATGCGCGTCCGCACCCTTCCGCCGCGAGCCATTGCGTCAGCGCGCCTGGGGGCTAAGACCGCCTAGTCCACGCCCCACCCTCGGCACACGAGGCCTTCACTGCGGCTGCGTGGGCTCTTGGCGCGCGCGTGAGGTTTGGACCGCGCCTGCGTGCACTCAGCGAGCACTAGGGCTGCGTGCTCCCCGACGTCCTCCCGCCAGCTCCCTCAGGCCTCTGTGCAGCCAGCGTTTTCGAGTGAGTTCTCCAGTAGGGCCCCTAAATACCTTTGTGTTCGCACAGGTGTGGAAGCCGAGGACGGCAGTTTCTGGCGCCTCAGATTTTGCAGGAGCGCCTTCTAAGAACCCCATTACTGTTTTAACCCGGATGTGTTCGCCCCTTCTTCTAACTTAAACACTATTTTCTTTAACGTGTAGGCTGTGTTGCCTGCGTATATATATATCTGCCTCGTGTGCATGCCTACTGAAGCCAGACCTGGATCACGTGGAACTAGAGATAGACAGTTGTGAGCCACCATGTGGTGCTGGGAACCAGACCCGGGTCCTCTGCAAGAACAGCCAGTGTTCTTAACAGCTGCTCCCCTCTCCAAACATTTAATCCTCAATATTATGCAACTTTTGCAGAAGAGCGACCCAGTTGGGCTAGGCAAATTCTCATCAGTTTCATCACTGTATTTTCAGGGCATAGAGCTCACTACAGTAAGAATGAAAGCTAGATTTTACTAAGACTAACCAAAAGGTTCCTGAACCTACGGTGTGTGCATCCCAGGCTTTAAGCACTAACCCAGATCAAACTATTTTGAACAGTCACTTGAATACTGCTCTTGAACATTGCCTTTCCCTCTGCTTCCACCACTCGATGAGACTCATAACTCAGGATCCAAGGACTTTTGATGGGACTCCCAAGGAACTGGTGAACTGCAGAGATTATAGGCACAATTTCCTGCCAACGCAGATTTTAGTGTAGTACCATGCTTACTGTGTACTTTTTGTCCAACCATGTTTTTCCTGAATGATCTTGAGAATATTTTCATGAAAACCAGAAATAGTCCCAAGCATTCTTTTAATTTTTTTTTAATATCAGAGTGTAAGTCTGCATTTGAGAAATTGGTGTGGACTTTGGAGTAGAAGACCTGGGCCTGACTCCTGCTTCATTGACTTCAAGATACTTGAGTAAAGAATCCAAAGACTTAATTTACACAACCAGAAATAGGTGACTACTATCTCCAATAGATGTGCTTTAGAGACAGTCTTCAACAAACTTAGATGAAGCATCTGTATAACATTACATGGCAATAGATGATTTGTGAATGGGGACCATATGACAACTGATCAGCAACAGTAAATTAAAACAAAGCCGAAAGGGAGCTGAAGTGATAAGAGTGCTTACTGCTCACCCCGAAGACCACCACCATCGCCAGGCAGCTCACAACCACCTGTAACTCCAGTTCCAGAGGACCTGAAACCTCTGGCCTTTGAGGACACATGTGTGAAGGTACACATACAAGCATACACATTTTTTTCTTATTAAATTTCATTTTTATTTATCCTTTGAGAATTTCATACAACTCCTAAAATTGAAATATAATAACATCATTTCTTCCCTCTCCTACCCCTCCCATATCTGACCACATTCTTCCTCCCAAAGTCAAGGCCTACTTTAATCATTATTTTGAATATACATATGAACGGATGAGCATATAAATACAACTTGTAGCTGGGTGTGGTAGTAAATGCCTTTAATCACAGTTCTTGAGAGGCAAAGGCAAGTGGATCTCTGTAAGTTCCAGGCCAACATGGTCTACAAAGCAAGCTCCAGGACAGACAGGAATGTTATACAACGAAACCCTGTCTAGAAAAACCAAATAAGTAAATAAATAAATAAGTACTTACTCTACATACTTGTTAATTGATTCACTGTTGCCTATATGTAGGTGCTGTTTTTTAAACTCTATTTGGCGTCCCTAAAGCCCCTACCTCCCATCCCCCCCAACTTTATCTAGGTAAGAGGCAAAGAAGTTTGGGAGGGAAAGGGGATGTAGACTTCTTTAGACTTGGATCCCACGGATTAGGTTTGTCTGGTTCTTTGGGAAAATTCCAATCTCAATCGTGAGGACATCTAGCAGTCCAGCAATAGCAAATGGCCAACAACAGCAGTGGAACGAACAAGCAGCCTTCTTCCTCCTCTATCTCCTCGACATTCCCTCCCACCCCACCCCCTCGGCTCTCATATGTGTACCGTCCCAGAGTCCTCAGAATTCCACTAACTCCAGCTGCTAAAGGTCAGCCCCTCTCTGAGCCACACAAGGCAATTATCAGCTGTGGACAAACTAAAAGCAACTCCGTAGCCACATGTGGGATTAAAACAAAAACCATTTATATGACATAACTGAGTTTTTAAAGAAACCAAAACTTCCACTGTATTTGTATGTGTAAAGTTTCTATGGCTGACCACTCAGCATTAGATAACCAGTGGGGGATCATCCCTCGGGTGATCTCCACTTGTTTCTGTCTGGAGTGCACTTGTTAATTGAAATAGATCTCCGTATAGAGGTGGGGGGTAAGATTTTTCTCCATCTACTTCAGGATGTCAAATGATACTGGAATTGTTCCAGTTTTGTTTAGGTAGCCATGTTGAGATTTAAGAGAAGGCACAATCTCACAGCCAACTTCCTGGCTCTTAGCATCTCCCCACCACCTCTTCTATCATGTTCCCTGAGTGTTAAGTGCAAGAATTGTGTTGGAGATGTATCAGGTGGAGCTGGACACCATCCTGGTCAGTGTTCTCTGTATTTTGACCACTTGTGGCTTTCTGTAATGGTCTCTTGCTGCTGCAAAAAGGATCCTCTTTGATGAGAGGGATGAGATATATGTAAGTATAAAGGTAAGTATTTAGAATGTAGTTAGGTATTATGCTAGTTTGGTAAAGTGGAATTGTATGTAGAGGAATTTTAATTGAGCAACATGGCTACTCTAGCTGGAATGCAGACACGCCTTTAATCTGAGGAGACAGAGGCAAGCAGATCTCTGAGTTCAAGGCCAGCCTGGTACTGAGCAAGTTTCAAGTAAAGCTTATGTCCAGGCCTGTTGATACAAACCTTTACGCCCAGCACTAAGGAGGCAGAGGTATGCAGATCTCTTGAGTTCTAGTCAGTTTGGTTGAGTCAGTGAGCTGAAACACAGTGCAGTGGAGTTGAGTTCATGGCAGCTCAGTTTGTGGAATTCAGAGGCAGGTTGAAGAGAAAACAAGCTAGACACAGGTAAAAACAGAAGGAGCCAGAGAATGAGAAGGAGCCAGAAGATTAGAACAGATTGCTAAAGTTAGTTTGAGGCCAAGCAGAGCAATTCAGTCAGAGGCCAAGAGAGAAAGAAGCCCGTTTGAATCAGCTAGGAGAGGAGTTTGAACCAAACAGCTAGTTTGAACCAACCAGCCAGAGTTCAGAAAGAACTAAAAGGGTGAGCTTATTCAGCATTAAGTCTCAGAAGCTGAAAACATTCTAGGCTTAGATTAGATTGTATGGAGGCTAGAAGCTTCCAGGGTTAGGCCTAGGTTAACAGATAAAGGCAGTAAGCGTCCAATACAACAATTAAATCAGGTGAATAACAGTTGTTTTTACAGTTGTAGTTTCTCTTCCAAGATTCATGGCTTCACTAGCCACATGTTTCCAGTACCAGGCATGACTTCCCTCCTGTTAAATGGGCCTTTTGTCCAATCAGACAGCTGTTGATTATACAGCAGGTTACTGTATTTGTAAGGATTCTCTATAGTAACAAAACAGAGTGAATATATAAAATTATACATATATGTATATATAATTTATTAGAGTGCTTACTGTCTGTGGTCTGGTTAGTCCAACAATGGCTGTCTCCCAACAGAAAGCTCTCAGTAGTTGTTCAGACCATGAGGCTATGTGTCTCAGCTGGTCTTCAATATATGTTGGATGTTGGAATCCTGAAGTGGAAGGCTCAGATATTAATGAATTGAGAGCCAGGGCAAGTGGGCAAAAACGAAATCCTTCTTTTATATAGGCTGCCACCAGAAGTTATAGCCCAGATTTAAGGTAGGTGTTCCAACCACAAATGATCCAGTTAACTAAAATCCCTCACAGGTGTGCATAGTGATTTGGGTTCTTAGTTAATTCCAGCTGTAGTATGGTTGACAACCAAGAACAGCCATCACAAGTCCACCCTTTGTCAACTTGACATATAATCATGTCTCCTTATGCTGTGCTTAATTTCCAAATGAGAGCAAGCAGGTCATGCTTATGCCTAACACAATATAACTTATCTACATATAACCACAAGTGCATTATAGATTTTAGAGTTGTGTTCTTTGAGGGATGTTTTTTAGCATCTCCAATTTTTTTTAAGATTTAATTATTCATTTTTTAAATGTATATGAGTGCTCCATCTGCATGTACACTGTGTGGTTGCTGGGAATTGAATTCAAGACCTCTGGAAGAGCAGACAGTGTTCTTAACCGCTGTGCTATCTCTCCAGCCCTTGCATCTCAAATCTTAATCTGATAACTGAATGAAAAATAAATAAATAAAAAGGAAGAACATGATTTCTAGTTATGGTGGAGAAGGTTTATTGTAGTTAAAAGGAAAAGCATAGCAAGAGGCAGGGACATCTGAGAGAGTCCAGCATGAACACAACCCTGAGCTTGTCAGTGGGTGGTGGGGGAAGGGAGAGCCAGACCAAGATGTCAGGAGGGTAAAGGGTAGAGCAAAAAGGAGCTGGTAACCAAAATAGCTGAATTATATAGAAAAAGTCAGCCGGGGAAAAGGCAGCCCAGTCTCTGGGCTGGAGAAGTTTAGGGTAGGGAATAGGGTATGTCAGTCATACCGTGTAATAGTTAGGGACTGAAGGATGCTGGAAGAACCTGGCAGCCAGGTCTGCTCTGATGTGTTAAATAGGTTAAATAGTCAAGAGTTTGAGATTGACAATAACCACTCAATTAAT